TCTGGAGGCTCTACAAGCATAACCACTCAGTATTTTTAACAAATTCTTTGATAGGCTCATTCAGGTTGACCAGAGGTATGTTCTGGCTACCTCCCCAGTTAGCGCATATTTTTTTTTTAGATGCCAAAAATGGCCTCCAGAATAAAAACCTTCTCAAGGCTCCAGCTTTCACTGAAATTAGTCCATACCAAGGGAAGTGTAACACAACTACATAATGTAAAAGAATACACAAATACATTTGAGGTACAATAGATTCTTAGAAAGAACCAGAAAAATGAACCAACCTTCATTCTTTTTGCACTCAACTGTACATATATAATTTTGAACTTGACACAACATCAGTGAAATGTACACGTTGCAGACTGGGGATGACAAGTATGTAATTGTGGTCTACTGCATTCCGTAGCCTCTCCTCCACTGCCAGATGTTCTTGAGAATGAGGAGACCCCAGCGGGGTTCTAAGTTGGCATGTCACCAGATTTTGGTGATGGTGTCCCAAATTTGGCAGGCCGTCACAATACGCTGGTGACCGCTAGGATGCTCACCTAGATGTGTCAGGTATTCCTCTTTCTACCTCTGTACCACCACCATTTCTCGCCTTTTCTGTTATTTATCACCGTTCCCTACTACCTTATGCACATTTAATCTGCACAACATGAGCCTTCCCTAACGACAATAACGAAACCCTGCACACCCTGACGCCCAGGCACGAATTGGGCATGAACACACCTGCCACATCAACAGCCTCAAATGCTGATGCTCCTCTGCTTCCATCAACACTACCTTCTCCTGCCGATGTCCAAATTGACCCCCAGCTCCTTCACGCAGATGCTCGACATCCTGATGGCAGCCTTATTGTGGTGGCAGCCTTGTTGCGGAAGAGGTCTACAAAGCCCACCTGTAAGTCCATTGCCTACTGTGTTCAGCATCTCTGGATATTTTACAAAGAAAGAGCCCTTGCAGGCGGCATGTACTCATTTCAAGATTTGTTTCGCAATGCGAGCCAACTTTGATTTTCTATGTAATACCCTTGTCTGCCACTGCTGCGTATGTTCCTTGTATCCACTTTCAATTTCTTTAGAAGTCACTGTTGCTTCACAGGTATTCTGCATGAGCAACTACAAATCCCCCGCCTGATCACACTGTGGCTGGTCCATCGAAAGTGCTTTCTATCACCATCCCGCCATGCCCAAGTCACTCTTTAGGCCAAACAACTGGCCAAGCTGATCAAGAACCTCTTGAAGCCCAGGCTGATTTTTACATAGTAAGCTACTTCACTCTCCCTAATATGTGTCTTGGTTTATCTCACCAACATACATACTAGATTTCGTTCAACCGCAATTGACCAACTCGAGCTACTAACCAACACGGAATGGGACAAGCAACACAAACATGACGATGTACAGACTGTAATTGGAAGCACAAACAATACTTGGCATATGTGATTGAAAGGTGTTGTACACCATGTCAGAGATAGGACGGTGGAAACAAAATTGTAGGCACTCGCCTTATTCTTCATTCACAGTGCTGTTCAGCGCTAACTCCCAATGCTGTCCAGCATCACCCCATCGCCATTCCAAGCACAGGCAGCATGTGAAGCTGATTACTTTGACGCCAATGAACGACGAGCAACCTTGATACGTAGAACGTGTGGATGGTTGCAGCAAGTAGTCAGGGCTTAAGGAAATGCGCCTGCAGAGAACGCTGGATGAGTGATGGCGGACGACACTCATACAAAGTAGGTAGCAAGAGTTTGACACACCCAATGTCCATCAACGAACTTTAGCCACAGGTCAGTTTGCTTCCATCGGGTTCGTCTACAATGGCTTACATTTTGTAGGTCATTATGCCATCTTAAATGAGGTCAACGTGTTAAGTGAGTGCTTCAAATGTGGAACAACCTGCCAAACCTTCTGGAATCTTGTGGACAGCCAAGGGTGAGGGTCACGTGGGAGATGCGACAAAAGAACTTGAACACAGAGGTCAGTTAGTATTGTGTACTCAAGGAGAAGTAAACAAAACTGACATACTTTTGCAGCACCATCATGTATATTCACGACTTTCACCCTTGCATATCTCAATAATTCAAGCTGTCAGTCACGGAACGTGAACATGAAGGGATGGTTTTCATAAAAGCTCCAGGTGTGCACAATATCGATGAACACTAAGGACAGAGTGATGTGGTATCGTTCCCACTTGCACAAATGTCCTCCTCTGCACACGTTAATTTTTTCAATGTCAAGAAATAAAAACTTGGATTGGGGGTGATATCGAAAAGTGGGAAGCAGGGGAGAGTGCAGGTTGGATGCAGGTAGGAAGAGCTGTGAGGATTGGGGTGAAGGTATGGGGAGACGGAGCGGGGACGGTGAGTCAGGTGATCCGCCCATGCCAAAGCGATGTGATGACGACAGGCAGCCACCAGCCAAAGCGTGGTGACGAGGTGGAGCGAGGCTGGAGGCAGAACACAGCCTGAGTGCTGTGATGAGAACCAGAGTGAAGGCGATGAGAGTGGCTGACGTAAGGTGCTGAGCAGTGATGCTGAGCTGGGACGGCATCATGTCGTCACAGGGAAAGCGCCTGAGAACCTTCGAGCCAAACCAGCCCATTGGAGGATCTGTCACGCAGGCCCAGAAAGGCCTTGGGTTTGGGACCCAACAATAGGGTTAATCAATGATGTCCGAGCTCACCAAGTACATTTTCCGGCAGCTGCTCTCTCGTGAGCTTTTGTTCTTATGTTTGTTTATTTGGTCTTCCCCATCAGATTATGAGGGCATGTCAGCATTGGAAAGTATGGCAATCTGTGTGGCGATCTGTATGGCCAGAAACGTGACATTGGACACGTGATGTTCAAATATTAGTTCTGTGTCGCGTCGCGTCACCTTGCATGCTTCACCATGCTTCTAATTGACCTAGTTGAGCAGCTCAAAGGTCATGCAGTGCTTCAAGAGATCTTCCTCAGTGCCCTTATGACATTTGCACAACTTACATCTCATCTTAAGTGTGATGTTCTCCAGCCACAAAGCATCTGTCAAAGTGACCCTGAACACGCACCTGATAAGCTTCCCGCCAGCATCTCTAGTTTCCTCAGCGACACACTGTGAATTCCTGAACAACACATCCATGACTACTGGAGTCTTCTCAAGGACTATATCTGGAACATGCCTACTACAGCACTTTCTAGCAAGGACTATACACTGTTCAAAGAGCATGGATGGGTTTATGGCATTAGTAATGTGATTTGTTTGGATTGATCTAGATGGTGCCTGACCAGAATCTTGCAGTGGCGCTGACTCTATACCTGCCTAATATTGTATGCACCAACCCTGACTGCACAAATATTGTTCCCTTGAAGAAAGAGGAGCAACGCAAAGTGATCGTTTATACTTTATCAAATGGTGTCCAACCCGCATGGAATGTACATGTATATTGTCTGAGTACATGTGAGGTTCTTGTTGCAAGTATTCACTGAAAAACATGTTGCACAGAGTGCCAAACAAATTATCACAACAATTTCAGTGTCCAGGATGGTGTCCGAACCTACTACATGGGTATACCAAGCTATATATTGGTAGGTGAGCATCAGTACGTGGAAGTGAAGGTAGTGAGAATGTGGATTTCGCAAATGCTTCTCAGATGGTATGTGTTTTCCGCATCTATCTATTTACATTCTCAAGTACTCAAGGTTTTCGGCTACCAATGCTGCTCGGCTTTATGATCTGGCCCTGTCAGAGAATCTTACATACCTTGATGGATGGTCACTTGGCGGCCAGCTTACAACAAAGCATATATGGGATGGTTTTAGTTTAGTGTCTTTGCTTGATGACCATCAAACACAAGGAACACTCCTTCATGTACCTCACACAGGCTCTCAGAGTGACCACTTCAAGACTGCAATGGAGGAAAGAAATAAGCAGATTATTATGGAAGGACAGCCTGATGCTGTTCATCATACCTGCAAAAAATGCATGCGCATTTACAAAATGGAGGATGGGGAATTCAGTAAGATTGCACAACTAATCAGGGTTAACAGAATTAATCAATCAACAGGGAAAGTTCAGGCCATTGTTGCAGATGGCATCAGTATTGGCTGCCCCTGCTGTGGAATCTTTCGATGCACTGAGCCACTTCAAAACAACCAACACCGATTTTGTGCCACACATTTCGGCCATCATAATATTTGCGCTATTGATGGCTGTGAGCTTCCAGTTGAACTTATACCAAAGAAATTGAGGACATGTGCAGACCCTATTCACCAAGAGATCGAGAGAAAGAAGAAGGCATGCAGAAATGCTGCATTTGTTCTGAAGGACCATTGGAAAAATGCCCAAGTGCTTTATGGTGAAGAAACTCCAGTTGCTGTGACTGGGGAGCACATAGATGTTGAGGATGAAGTTGAATGGTTTGAGGTAAATGGCATGGCAGTTGAAATCTTTAACAAGCAGAACCCTGGATCAGTCGGCGTCGTTGAGGATCTTGATCCTTGCTCAACAAAATCATTGGACGGCAACCGCAAACTCAAAACGCAGCTCTCGAGAAGGAGAACACACAATGAAGAGACCCTTGTGCGACCCTGTGGCATAATATTTGCGCACACAACCATGTTTGGAGCAGAAGCTGTGTCAAATTTTCTGGTGCGTGTTAGCTATACTCCTTAGCTTATTGAGCTCTTAAAGTTATGTAGATAATGCTCAAGAACACATTTTCCATCCCAGGAGCAAGCAAGCCTGAACACATATTTTACAATACAAATTGTGATGCAAAACAACAGGCAGACACATCAGGTGATCCATGGTTTCAAGACGTGGGCATGTGCGTTGACATCTGGCATTTCCTGAACAAACACAAGGTGACACATGAGTTCTGCCAACTAAATTGCAACCCAGCAATGTACCCTGAGCTACAGGATGATGACGGGAACTGGTTTTTCAACACGTCGGTTGCAGGGCAGACAAATACATGGCTTGGCGGATACAGCTCAATCATCAGAGAGATGCTCCCTGACAAGTATGATTTTTTCCTTGACGAAATGATCAGGCTCCATAATGCCGAAGTGCTCCAGAGGTTGGAGAAGGAGGGACACTGCCCTCGTATTTTGTAATCATGGTGTTGTTCTATTACATGTTTCTTCATTACACAACAGAGTCCAAGACAAGTGGAAGTAAGTAAGGTGTTGCTGAAGGCAGGAGGGATATGGAAAGAAGTTAAGATATGTAGCACAATAAAATCTAAAGTACAATTACTGTCTGAGAGGATACTGGCGCGCAAACACTGACCAGCGGCCAGCAGGCGTACCTCCACCAGCTACAGCCTCCTCATGGTGATCCTCAGAGGCGGCCTTCCATCGGGTGCATGCGTTGTAGTATGTTGCAAGCTTAACCTTACAGCCAAACACATGCTCGAGCCGCTCTTCCAGCATACCGAAGTGCTTTCTCATCTCCCGACTATCGATCTTATCAAATACGTCTTGCATGTCAACAACATAGCAATTGCCAGGCCATTTTGAAGTTGACTTATGTGAGGATGTCGAGATGGGGGAAGGAATTGAGGAGGGGGATGATGGTACTGGTGGAGAGGAGGGGCTTGTGAGAGCAAAGGATGATGATGATGAGGATCCTTGGGACATGGAGGATGTCCAGAGGGATGAGGGGGATGTGGATGATGTTATGGGAGAATCAGGAATTGTGACGATGGGAATCATGAGGGGAGTGAGACTAGGGAGGTGTCGCTTTCATGCCAAAGCCTTGGGTGTGATGGTGAGGTCAAGAATTTGCACCTCGGAAGGGGGCGATGATCGAGGAGATGGCGTGAGGGTGGCTTTGTGCTTGCGCGACACTCATACACTACTCCGATCACCTGGCATGTTGGTGCGAAGGTGAGTGTTCTTCCTCATGATGGTAGCAAGTTCCTTGTCGAAGTCCAAACACTTGACATTTCGGCAACGAAAGAGGAGGTGGGTGTTGGTAGATACGGAGTGTGGCCAGCTGGCATCAACTTGGACCCAGTGACGACTGGGGATGTTGTAGACATCAAGCACTTCAGTTCCGAGCTTCTCCAGGGTCTTTGGGCATTGTGCTAACGTCCATGTTGGCCACCCCTGTAAAACTTGCACTGATAGAACCTCAGGTGGTGCACCATCCTACAAGGAGCATTAAAAGGGATGCAGGTGATGGACATGTCGTTAACGACTGCTTACCTGTCGCCAGAACATGATAAAAAATTTGTGGAGCAGTGCCATGTCACCCTGCGCTTGCCCTCGCTTCTTCAACAGTTGCGACGTCTTGTCTTCATAACCCCGCATCCATTCAGAACGAAGATGGATTGTGTGCTTTGGAGCCTTGGTGCTAGTGCTGGGGGGTGGTGCTGGAGGAGAGGGTGTAAAACGAACCAGGGACAATGGGCCAGAACGTGAGGAGGCAACACGTGAGGAAGAGGCAACATGCGAGGAAGAGGTGATACATGAGGAGGAGGCAAAGTGCGAGGAGGTAATGTGTGAGGTGGAGGCAAAGTCTGAAGGAGAGGAATGAGTGTTGTTGTGTGGTGGAGAGTGACTGAGAGAAGCTGCAAGGGCTGCCTGATAATCAGCCTCTTCCTTGGCTTCGTCCGCAAGCTCCTGTGCACGAGCAAGTTTGGCCTCCCGTGTTGAAGCCTCCACAGAACGCATGAACTGGACAGTGGGGTCCATGTTCGCAATCACAATCTGGAGCTCCTCCCCAGGAGAAAGTGATCACGTAGGAGGGGGATGGTGAACTGAGGAGGAAGATGTGGCTGCGGACACCTGTGGTTGTTTCCCTTTCCGCTTATTGGCAACTACCATAGCGACCGTGTGGATACTGCAACCTGTGTGCACAACACAGCATTTCTTGCACATGAGCCGGATGCAGACCGAGTTTGCAACCCTGTGGCATTTGCTTTCACTGCACTTGGACGAGGCTTTGACTGACAAGGTGGTTGTAGAGGAATGAGAGGTGGGCGCTGAAATGGCATTGGGTGCAACGCCTGGCATAAAGGTGTAGTGGTAGTGGTGGGCATGGCACTGGAACAAAAGAGAATAAGATTGTGCAAAGGAAGTGTCCTCGTCAACTTACCCATATGTAATACTGGCCAGGGAAATTACTACCTGCCGCAAGCTTGACTTTGAGAGCGCAATGACACGCAGGACTAGTGTTTAAAGGTTCAGTCCATAGGACCGCAAAAAACCGGTGGACCGAACTGAACCGGACCATGGTCCGGTCTTTTTTTCGGTTGCAGTTGCCCCAATTTGGGGTTGGTCCGGTTGCCAGTTGCCTCATTTCGAAAATCTTTTAAAACCGTTCAAAGGCCGGTTTTAATCGGTTGCAACCGGTTAAACGGTCACGTGCGTTACATAGCCTTGTAACCACGTTTATTGCCTTTTATTGGGTTTTTGTTTCATCAAAAACGGTTAAGAATTGAGAAAGATATAACCAAATCCATATTTTACCTGAGTCTCTATGAGATGTAATTCGGTTTCAGTCATAGCTATGTCAAATCTTCATTAAATCTCTTGAAAATTGGTAGAATGATGGGTATTTATATGCTTTACTATTTTATATAACCCATTTATTTTTCAGAGTAATAATGATTGAGATACAAATGGTTTATATTGGTATAATAAATTATACGCAAAAAAACCGGTCTGGATCGGTCTGAACCGGTATCATGGACCGCAAAAGACCGGTCCTAGGTGGTTCGGTTCGGTTCCCTCAATATCTGGGTCGGTCCTGGACCGGTTGCGGTCCACGGTCGCGCGTTTTCGGGGCAAAAAACCGGACTGAACTGAACCTTTAAACACTACGCAGGACAGGAATTTGGGCTGTTGATGTTGGGAATGACAGGATTCATGGTGGTGGAAGGAGTGTGAAACAGTTCATGAAGATATAGATGACTATATGTGCATTAACGGAGGGGTATGTAAGGTATCGACATGGGGGAAGAGGGAGACACAGGAGGAATGCGTAGCACACCGGTGTTTGGACCAATGTAGCCGCCAAACATTCCGCCACACATTTCGCCACATACACTGCCAAACATTCCAATTCTGACATTTTTTGCAGATTATATAACCATCAGATATTTAGTTCTCCTCCTGGGTACGAAAGCATCGCGAGACGAGCGGCTGCTTTTAGGAGCCTGGATCGACCAATGAAATGTTAATAAAGAAAAGTGCATCACTCAAGGATTGAACCAAAAACCTCAGACTCATGGCCTACGTATGCAAAGACTACAAATTTGTAGTGCAACATAACCATTTGACTACATGACCTATTAGAAAACTCCCAAGGCCGCTAATATATCCAATCTCTCACCCAAACTTAAACAAGAAAATCTTCCAGTGCTGCAACATAGGGGAGGTTTTCTCCTGTAATTAATGCATAGTATGTGGGGCTCTTTCCAATAGAATACAAATTTTTATGAAATCTACTGTACTTCGTTTACAGCTAAATGCAAAACCCTAGACACCTCTCAGAAATTTCTTGACTCCGCTTTGCTTTGTGTAAACAACCATTTGAGGAAGGAAGCGGGCACCTATGATGCAAATCCTGCACCAATTCAGGTATATGTAATGTAATGGAGTGCTCCACACTCCAATTGAGGTTATAATGATACAGACTTGTGCCAAATGTGGTTGTTTGCACAAAGTGAGGCAGAGACCAGAAATTATCGGGAGGTGTCTAGGGTTTTGCATTTAGCTGTAAGCCATTGGAACGTCGTTGCATTGCGATTGCAACCAAGTGTCAACAAAGACAAGTGATTACAACTGGTTCAAACTCCGACATAATCGTGATTGAAACTCCGGCTGGTTGCAACCTAGTGTTGCCGCAAGGGAAGGTGAAGGTCACCTTGAGGTGACAGCCCTGTCACCTTGAGTTACCTTGATGTGACCTCAAGGTATTTTCCAGATTAGGAAAACGAAAGAGAATCAGCTCGCAGCAAGTTTGCAGCCACGTAGAATCATAACTATATCATGTAGTATTGTAACATACATCTGAGTACTGGTCAACAGAGGGTCCCTGTGGTTGAGTGAGGTGACCTGTCAACTAAATATGCACATGGCGAGCCAAGAAGTAATTTTAGGGTATTGAGTTGACGAGCAATTGACAAGTTACGAAAAAATCATCCATACAGAGGGGCGAAACATGGGGTACATAGATCTCCTCCTCAACAAACACCCATTTGTCATTGCAGTCTGTCCTTTCTGAAGCAGATGTGAATCTGAGAATTTGAAGCTTCTCCATCAATTCCGGTGCAAGGTTGTTTCGGCAAAGGGTGTCAGTTTCTTTGCTTTACAAGAACATGCACTCTGATGGAGCAGAGGATGCTTGAACTGGAAAAACATCCAACGTGACGTGGTACATTGTCTTCTTCCTTTTATTCACCTGATAGTGCCATAGCAGCATCGTTCAATTGATCAAATTGAAAGACATGAAACTAGGCATTATTGGTTCCAGAGTATAACTAGAAATGAGATTCAAAAAATTGATCGGCGCGGTGGAGTGCTGATGTTCAGCGTCGAGCAACAAGTTTGGGCGCATGGAACGACAAAACTCGTCACAAGAAAGGCTGAGTGGCCCGGCCGTGCCGCTGGCCTATGAGAATTTTTTCCCGAAGTGGCACATTTACCTTGATGCACCTTGACACTCCTTGACGTTGACAATTTCCTTTTGCATCGCCTCAAGGTGACCTTGCCTTCAAGGCACCTTTCCTTGCGGCAACACTATTGCACCAACAAAAAAAAAGTCCGACAGTCATCTCAAAGAATATTACAAAAGTTGTCAACGAAGTCAGGCATGTCGCAACGTCTCTCGACCAAATTGACCAAAAGTCCTCATCTGAGGCGCTGTGCTCATCGTGCCTCTAGTAAAAGCCCATATAATGCTTATTTGCCACCTCCCGCGCCCTGGCACTCAATGACTCGGATAGAGACAGGGATGCCGCTATCATCGCCTGCCGTCAGCATTTCGTCGTCATCGATAGGCCTGTCGCGCGCTCTTCGGGTTGTACATACCTCTTCTTCATCAGGCGCGAGGTCCTGTGGTTGTTTACTTGTTATTCCCCCAGTTAACCCCCGGCATTCAACGACCCACTGCAGTCTAATCGCACATTTGAAAATGTACCGCGAGGGCTGAACCGCGCCTCAGCTTCCCTTCTCGATCTCCCGACCCCCTGACCTGTTATCATCCTCAACATTCGGACACGCAAAGTCGCCAGACATGTCTATGCTCCCCCTGTCCATAATATTTTGTACCAGTTTATGAAACCTTTTCCTCCCGCCTCTCGCCACATTGCGACGGCTAACACCGTTGCCTTCCACATTCGCGACACCTTTTCTCACTTCTTCCAATGAGCCTGCACCTATTTTCAGGTTACCGCACGCGACCGACGTGCCTTCATGTTCAGCGACGCCTTGCTGACACCCAGTTTTGATTCACAACTAAAACGTCGAAAGCTCTGGCGTATAATTTCGCGATACGAGTACATATCGTAGCTCCTCGAGGTTACCTTTTGTACAGCCTTTTCCGCCTCTACAAGACAAGCCCCTTCTTCTACAGCACGCTCTGCCTCCTCTTCTTCCACTGGGTTCTTCCACAACGTCATCGCTGACAAGGGCCGGCACCTGGTCTTCCAACTCCAACTCCAGCTCAAAAACCACAATCTCACTGCCTCCAGCAACGCCCAAATCCGCTACCGTCCTCCCACCTCCCAGAACACCAACAAAGACTCAAGAGCGGCTCAAGGTCTTCTTCACCTCGTCTTTCAAGACCAGTGCGAGTGGTCCGAATTCGAATTCGATGCTGTGTCCAACGAGAAGGGTGCACAAATACAGACGCGCGCAGCACCAGCACAAACGCGTCTTCTGTCAATTATGTTGAGCAGACGTTACGCTTGTGACCTATGATCCCCCGCGTGCGTACAGACGGTTAACGCAATTATGGGTTCCTGTATGCTATCGGCATGGGCTTGATATCTCTACGAAGATGCCGTTGTTCGTGGTGAGTTGACCTGAAGAAATT